TTTAACTTGATCTAACCTCCCCCTAGCCTTCCCAGATGTCTGTGCATACCCTGTGTGTCACACTATGCATTACTACAACTAAGGTAGAATAAGTATCAAGGACAGGGCTGTGCTTTTTGATCAAGAAAATCCTGATTTTACCCCTGCTGTTGCTATGAAGTTCTGAGTGGACATGGCACATGTTATAGCATAGTGACAAATGTGAATGTCAAAACATAGTGACAAATCAAGGTCTCATTAGTCATAGGCTTGTAACAACAGTTTTTGTCACTGTACTAAGTACTGTATCATATTAATGTAACATGGATTACAAGGCATTTACCATTCACTTATTCTTTGCTAGAAGGTAAAATCAACCTTCTGCAAAGCAGAATTCTGGAATAAAGATACAAAAATAGGCAATCATGACTAACACGCTGTCCTGGAAACTGTAATTATCCATACTGGTCATGTATCATTACTGGACACCAGCTGCAAACTGCTGGAGGGTGAAGAGGGGGTTCCTCTAAGGAAATACCATCTAGGAGACTCCACAAGGAGTGCTGCACACAAACAATCTATCCTACACCATTAATCTTACTACATACTTGTTATGCTATTTGTCTGGACTAAGTCAAAACCAAAGCACCTAGATGGATTATCTTGGGTAAGGATGTTATTCTTACCACATGTCGAGGCAAGTGGAGTATTCTGTTGAGCCCAAAAGGACATCTGGAGGTCTGTACCACAGGGTAACCACTTCATTAGAGTATGTGTGGCTGGGGACTGATTTGGCTCTTGCAAGACCTGTAGGATAAATGCAGTAAAAAGCCATAAACGTAAAGAAAACAAAGAAATGGATTGCTACACACCTCATATCTTAAAAAGATGTATCTCATATGAACCTGGGCACATGCTATGAGCAGGGCAGCCTTTTGTATCTTTTGGTCTTGGTGTAAGTCAGGGGTTTTCAACCTTTTTTGGTCGGGGTACTCCTGACAGCCGGTCAACGAGCAAGGGTGGGGCGAGGGGGGGAGTTCCCTAGTAGCTGGTCAACGAGTGGAGGGGGGTTCCCTGAACAATGCACGGCAGCAAATCCAGAAGTACCACTGGCAAAACTGGAAGTGCAGCTGGCTTCTCCATGCCACTGCCACATACCCCCTGGGGCATTCCAAAGTACCCCCAGAAGTACCTGTACCCCTGGTTGAAAACCCCTGCTGTAAGTTAATTAGGAAACAACACAGTAACATCTATCATTTGATACATGACTAAATAAAGCCACAATTATTATGGAAGGACTATAAATACAAGCTTTTAATAACTAAGGAATCGCAATATATTTGGCACCATTCAGAATTTTATTCTTATATTAAAAAAAAAATCAGATAAATCAATAGTCAATTATTCAAAGGAGACAAGAATCAAAGCAACATGTCAGTAGAACTCCAGACAACACTTTGACTTTATAGGGTCTTAAATCTTTCCCTGGGACAATCAATATGTATTCACATGAGAAAAAATACACTGAAAAATATTTACAATTTCAGGAATGCTTTGTGGTATTTCTGTATGGCAGATAAACAAACAAGTGTCCTTTCATTAACTGCTCATAATTCAGCCAAGTTTTCATCACTGATCATCTTTCATTTCATTTGAGAGAGAGCACATGAGGGAGCGAAAGGTCTAATGTGAACAATACTACAGCTGGGATTGTTGAGAGCAGCCAAAGAAGTGTCTGTACCTAGTTTTGCAGTTGTTTGAGAGAGATGCTTGTGTATTGCAGGCATAAATGAATCTTAGTTTGAAAGAAAACGATATACCTTAAAATGTGATGAGACTATTTTTGTGCTGTTTTTTAGCATCTTACGTGCCTGAAAAAGGTACTGACCGAATCTGAGGATATAATGAAAGATCTTTGTATTGTGCTTCCTATTTGCATTTGTAGACCAGCAGGGCAACTGGGGCTAGGTACAGACATTACACCTATTGTACGCTAATTGTTCAGAAAGCACTTTAAAGACATAAGTGAACAGATGTTCATAGCTCTTAGAGCACTTTAAAAGTGGTGGATCTTGCGCTAAGTTAACCCTCAACAGATGAAGTATTAGACTCAAGTACTTTCTGTTAGAGCACTTTATTTAACATCTGTACCAGATCCCACTGAGGGTTAACTTAAGAGTGTAATCACCACCATCCCAGGTGATGTTGTGCAGAGCTGTGTTCTAGCCTCAGGCAGAACTCATTTGCTAAAACAAAGAGCTCATTTGCTCTGCCCCAATGCTGGGCCAGCCACAACTCCCACCTGCCGCTGTCAAGGACCCAAGTCAGTGATGGCTTCTGATTCCAGCCTTGCTTCCTCTCTCTGGCCAGCTCTGAGCCACAGCCTAACAGCAGGGGGAAGAGTTGTGGGGGAGAGAGTTCTCACTCCCTGCAGCCACCCTAGACTCATGGCACACTGCTGCCTGGCTAGAGGCGCTATGCGGGGAAAGGGCCTGGGCTCTGCCTACCTGTAGCAGTCCTGGTCAAGCAGCAGTGTGCTGTGGGCTGGGGTTGCTGCAGGGACAGAGCCCAGATCCCTTTCCCCCAAAGCTCCCCTGGCCCTACAGCGCACTGCTGCCCACCTGGGGACACTGAAGGGGAAAGGGTTCTGGGCTCTGTGTCCCCATAGTAGCCCTGGCCCTGTGGCATATTTCAGCAGAGTCAGGGTTGCTCCTTTCCCCAAGCTGCAGCAAGGCACTGTAGCACAGTGCCACTTTTCACCACCCTGGGAACTCTGGTGGAAGGAGAGAAAAGGGGCTCCAGGCTGCAGCTAGGGGAAAGGAGTCCCCCTCCTGGGCAGGCCCCCCAAGGATTCTTAGTTCAGGTCTTAGTGGGGGCTGAGACAAGACATAGTGACACTTTCCACCACCCTGCAAACTTGGGGCAGGGGGGAAGTGAGGAGCAGCCCTGCCCCTCCTAAGGCCCAAGCTGGGAAGCAGGGGAGGTCCACCTGGCAAGGGGGCTCTTTTTTCACCCTCCTGACAGAGTTCCCAGTGCTGTGAAAAGCAAGCAGGGCTTGAAGGGGGTGGGGGATGTGTCTGTGTTCAGCCTCTCCCTGAGTGATCCTGCTTTGCACCTGTCCCCTTCCCTGGTCCACGGCCCCCATTGTGGCTCCAGGGAGGTGCTGGTGCCCAGCTGCCCCTGTGGGGACTTGGTAGATAGGCTTCCCAACCTGGGCCCTGGCCCCCGGGCATCCCCAACCTGGCAAAGAAATCCCTTCCAGCTCTGCTTCTCTGCGATTCCCTGATTCCTGTCACTGACAAGAGCAGAGCGGGAAACTGCTCCCCCATGTCAGATAGCCAATCAGGGATGACCTGCCCATTTGACTACACCTAGGAGTCTCCAGCAACCTGGGGAGTCCACAGGACCCACTAGGAAGCATGGGAGAACTCCCCCTACCTGCTGGCCTTGGGCAGTGTGGGCCCCTTCTCCCCATGGAATGGCAAATGTCTGTTTGGTTTTAGTACACTCTAACTTACAGCACTTCAAGTAAAATGCAAGTTAGAGTGCTTTTGCCACAGTTTTTTTTTAACATCTGTACTTAGCATATTTGACCAAACTGCAAGAGCAACTGCAGACACAGAGTGCATATAATGCATATAAAGTTAGGAGTATTTGGGCTCATATGATCAAAATCAGTGCATGTAAACTGCATTACTCAAGACATGAAAATATATTTTCAGCCTTTAGACATTTACAATTGATTTCAAGCCAAAACTGCCAAAAATATATACACAAAACTAACAAGCTACAGTATTTCTGGTTTTGATGCTCTAGGTATGACAGTTACCAGCGTTTTCAAATATCCTTCTGCAAAGAGATTGTTACATATTTTATACTGTTTGCACACTGAAATATGCTTACTCATGCAACATTTATTTAACTGCATCCTTCAACTGAAGGAAAACTGTAGGGTAGGATTAATTAGCACAGCATGTTCGATCACTTTCTTTAAGGGTTTCTTGTCCGTTTCCATGGTTACCCCACAGGAAGAGTCACAATCTCTTTTTAAAAAGACAGCACTTATGGGTGATCATCAAAACTTCTAATCCTAATGGCTGATGTGAATAAAAAGCCAATAGATAAAAGAGAGAGATCACCAGGTGAGTACACAATATTTGCATAGTGCTGCCTAAAGACATAGTGATGACTTCATGACAGTTTAGTGAACTGTCTTTCGGATCCTGTGTCTTCAAACAGATTAAAAGGTCATCAATATAGACACCCTACTGGTACAGTCCTATTCTTAAAGTAGCAAAGCACTCATGAAGTTATTAAAAGACAATTCACATCAAACCCACTGTGGAATTTCTACATAATAGTCAGAATATTTCAGCATACTGTTCTACATATTATTTTCTTTCTTTCTAGTGCTTTACTTGCTAATCCTTTCCTTTCCTTAGAAGAAAAAGCACAATTTTTAAAAAACTTTGCATAGTAAATCTTTTCTGCAGGAATATTTACAATGTCCATCACTTAGCATTTAACATTCAGGGCCCAGATATCCAGGTATAATTTTTATCACCCAAAAAATAGTTGTCTCAGGCATTTTTTCTCAAAATCATGACGCATATGAAGATATTTCCTTCTTCTGTAAATATAATTTTCTATCCTTTGGTCTCATCTCACACCTCAGGCTCCATGAGAATGTGTCTGAGTTTACCTTTTATGGTCAAATCCACACACTGATTTATTACTTCAATATTTTTGTATTATATTTACAGTTAAAAGATGATATAGCTATATTCATACTAGAAGCCTATTTTGAGAAAGGACTGCTGGATGATCATGATAGCCCTATGGCCACATAACAGCTCTCTAGTCAACACTGTGTGGAAAACCAGGAGGGGTGTAGTCATACCTACTATGTGTGCATAAAGGAGGCAAACATTTGCAGGTAAATAAATGTGGGTTTTTCAAGTATTGCAAAAATCAAAGTCTTCATAAATTCATGCATGCTAAACATCTCTTAATTAACATTTAACTGAATATTTCCATGCAGAACTATATACACTGATGTTTTCTCTTACATTTGAATTTTCTTGGCATGCAACTTATTTTGACTTGGATAAAACAAAAGGGTTTCTGTAGGTCCCTGATGAAATTTTTTTTTTAAAAAAATAATTTTTCCTTAGTTCAGCATCCTGTTGGGGCTATCAAATATTATTTTAATAGGTACCACTAGTGTTACATAGTTAAAACTTTTACAATCATAACTATTCTTCAAATAAACTGATTAAACATTACTTGCTTCTATTGTAATTATAAACCACCTATTTCAGTTTACCAATGGCACTCACTGCCAACCTACTTACTGAACGGGGAGTGGCACATTTATCTAGGGAATACCCAAACTAGAACAGGACGCAACACAAATAATTTGGGTAATCACTATTTTGGTAAAATAGCCAACTGCCCAACCCAGTGGGCAGTCCTTGTAATTCAAAGCTTTATTTCAGCTGTCAGGTATCCTTGTGCTTAGAATCATAGAACAGAAGGGCCACAATGGACCTGTACGATCATCAAGTCCAGTGCCCTGCCATGGGCAGGAGGTTATTGGGCTCAAATGAGCTCAAAGAGGTGCTTGTCCAGCCTCCTCTCAAACACCTTCAAAGACAGCAACTGTACCACCTCTGCTGGGAGTGTGTTCCAGATTCTAGACAACCTTATGGAAAAGAAGTTTTTCCTTATGCCTAGCCTAAATTTTTCCTCAATTAGCTCTTGCCCATTGGTCCGTGTCCTCCCAAGGTGTAGCAAAACCCCGTTTT